ATATAGAAATCCTTACTAATGAGTATAAATAACCTTTATCTTATTAGGATAGGATTTTTTACAAATTAAAACAATTTTAATTTGTTTTATCCAAATATTTAAGGTTATCTTTTACCAATCAGATATTAAAGATTTTATGTCTTAAATCACCTAATCTCATTTGGTAATTTTAAGACAATAAAATCTTCATTTATCCAATTATCAAATTCAAATTCCATAGCTAATATCATGGGGGTATTCCTCTGATTTTAAATTGCCTATTTATTCTTAGACTCCCATAATATATAGGAATCTAATTCCTTAATTAGGAAATTTTAAAATAATTTTGACTTCAATAAAATTAGAAAACCAATTCCTAAATTCAATATGTCAAATTATTTTAACTTGTTAATTGATTAAAATAATTTCCATATTTTGTAGGAATCAAATTCCTTATTTCGTGGAAACTTTCAAAATCTAGTTTGATTTGCTGATTTTATGAAACTACTTCCACAAAATATCTGATAATCAATTGATTTTTAAATTGCATCAAATTAAGATGCAAGATAAGGCAATTCAAAATGCCAAAACCGTGGCATTCAAAAACTGCTTGTAGCAATTTTATTGACCACATTTCTTGGCCATTAAGTGGCATAAAATTTTGGGATTTTATCCCTTATCCTAATCCTCCAATCAGCTAAGGTATGAAACTTCTCTCATCATCATTAGCATCAATTTTGGATGCCTTCTACCTACTGAAAACAAGCAAAACCGAGACTCAAAGTCTGCTGCTGGCAGTAGTTATTAGTCATCGTTTCAAGGCTTCTTGCTCACTTTGTGGTATTGGTTTTCAGCTACATTTGAAACATTTTCAAAGGACATCAACTTAACATCTTTTTTGCAAATTTTGGGAATATTTAGGACTCATTGCTTGCTGAAATGATGCAAAAACCAAACTTGGACAGAATCAAAATCTACCTTTAATACCCATATCTCCATTTCTCCACGAACCCGAATTCTTTTGCTGATTTTTGTGCATCTTATGCAAACTTTAATCTGCAAATTCTTGACATTAAAACATGTTTAATGCTCATTAATAAGAATATAAAATTTTACAAAATAAAACTATTCAGAAATATCAAACAATTTCAAAATAGAATTATGTAAACTTGAACTCACCATTTGACACCTGAATTTTCACATCTATGTCAAACATAGTATTAATAACAACAAGACATACTTTTGCACTAAAACGAGCCAAGGGAGGCTTTGATACTACTGCTAGGAATGGCATGATAATAGCATCAATGCAGCATCATAACAAAAATTGAAATAAAATAAAAACATGTCTCCTATCTTTGGATCACCTTGGTTGTTTAATGCAAAGTTAAGTACCGCATAAAATAAAATAAAATAAAAAATTTACCTTTCCAAGTGATATTATAAACAAATGGATTCTTTTTTGGTGACAAAACGTGAACAACTTTTGTTTGAAAGAATCCTAACACTTAATTGCTTGGCCTCCAAAGATGCACACACAATCATAACGGATCCTTCCCAATGAGAGAGCTTTATGCGATAGGTTGTGCTAGCAAGTGGACAACGATTTGTCCTCTTTTCTTCTTTGATTTCTGGCAAATGATTAAAGGAGAAGTTCTCAAAATAAAATTAAACTTTTCAAGAGTAGTGGCACTCAAGATAGAAAAAGAATTTTTTTTATTTTGTTTCCTTCCCCACCCCCAAAAAGAAAGAGTGGCTATAATGTGATAATTATATCTAAGTTTAACTTATCAAAAATTGCAAAATAAGTCCTTAATATTATAACAATTACATTATTTAACCAATACCTAATTAAACTCTTTTAATTAGGTCGTTGGTAGCTAAAACCTAGAATTCGATTTAAGTCTAACTTAAATCATCACATTCTCAATTTAATCCAAATTGCAACCTTTGCGTGTGACCCATTAGGTTCCTAACATGTTGGCAATGGAATTGAATTATAATATTATTAATTAATTAATTTAAATGAATCATATTCAATTTTAAATTAACTAAGTCAATTCCATAGACCATGATTGGCATCTAGCAATGCATCATGGCCAATCAATTATTAGGAGAGTAAAAGGATTCTTTGACAACCTTTCAGTGTATTGTTTTTTAGTGTAATTCATTCTCTCATCATATATCCTAGAGATGATAAGAGTTTGGTGTAGTGCCTACTCTTACTGACCTCCATATTTGTTTTTGCAGTTAGATCATTAGCTTTATGGAGACTTATGAAGCTCATTTCATAATCTCCTAAACACCTTGGCCAAGGATTTGATTAAGCTAATGTCAACCAAGAACAAAAGAGATATTTTCCCTTGAATCGCTTAGGGTGATAATTCCTATCTTGACCACTCATTTGCCTTCATATGCTTCATACTATACCCAAAAACATCTTGTGTTGGCATCCTTGGTTAGGCACCCATAAGGATGAAATCAAAGCATAGTACTCCACATACAAAACAACATGATGTTTCAAGTTTAGGGACTGGTTACACAACTGACACATGAGAAGTATTTCATAAACACTTGAGTGAGGTACCAAATGCACTTCTCATGGCGGGTCATGTTCAGTGAACTCGCTCTCTCATTGCAAGCACCCACATGCTAGTTCCAAGTATCTTTATATTTCAACCTATAAAAATGATTGCTTACTTCACAAGTAAGGAACATAACATGTGCCAATCTTTGAGCATTATTGCTGCCCTATCTCAATAATACAATGATCATGAACTTTTAAGAACAATGCTTTAATGCAAAAGGATCTCATAATTATATCCCAATACAATTCCTTTGCAAGGCATATATAGTTCCATGGGCTTTATCTACATAAGTATAAAAAGTAATTAAATCATAAACTTATGGATAAAGAACTACCTCAATGTTATTATGAATAACATAATGTTATATATGAATATCTCAAAATTGTAATTCTCATATAACCACAGATTAGCTTGTAAGGCTTTTACTAACAGATTGATCAAGCTTGGGTTAGCTTGATTAAGTGTATAGGTTCTGACTCAGCCTAGAAAAGTTAGTTTTGGGTTTTGGTTGATACCAGAAAAAATCATTGTTAAAGGTTATGGCTGAGCTTATGAAAAGCTATTATAAAAGCTTGGTGGAAGCTTGGGAATTTCACCGTTTATAGTGATTTGGTTTGAAAAATTCTTAGTTAAACAATTAACGTAGTGGATGTAGGTCTTTGACTGAACCACTATAAATCTTTGTGTATTGTCTGCTCTGTTTTATTTTTCATTTCATTTTTTATTAAATCATTCATTCATCTTGCATTTAACTTCTCATTGTTAATCTTTAGCTTGCCCCCAATTAGAAGTCAATCTAAGTGAGAGCCAAAAAGTGCTATTCACCCTACCTCTAGCACATTTATTTGGGACCAACACTAGCCTCAAAAGACATTGATATTGCTTTATTCATTTTCCATTCAGCTGCCTCAATACACAACATTCTAAGAACTCCATCCAAATCAATATTCCCAACCAAAAATTGTCCATGCTCATCATTTTCAATATCAAGTAAGTTATAAAATTGATTGATTGTTTAACTGTTGAAACGTACTCACATTCTTGAACAAAAACATGTCCATTTGCATGTTTTGCAGCGTT